CAGCAGGAACAGGATGTATATGTACAACAGCATACATTACAACAAGTGGAAAAAATATTCATGTTTTAAAAAACCAAGATCTATTATATTTATTTGTGTAAAGGCAAACATCCTACTTGTAATGAATCCAGACACTGAAGAAAAACAAGACCTATATTCCCTTCCTTTATGCAAGGCCTTTATGCCTTCATACATCCTCCGGGCCCCTATCTCAAAAAAAGTTCCTAATAAAATGCAAACGAGTATTAAAAGATAAAAAGAAAAAAATAAGTTAGTCATGAGCTATAAGCACCATATTCAGAGTTGAATGGGACAGGTTCTCCAGGCAACAGCCCAGCTCTTCCCCAGTGCAAGTTTCCGAGCAGCAAGCGTGCCTGACTTGTGTCCTGTCTCCAACCACCCCTTCTCAAGCTGGGAGTTCAGGAAGAAATGAGAACTGTCAGTACAAAATGAGAGCTGAAATTCAGTACTGGATCTGTCAAATATTCCAGTTGCTTAACCATTTAATTTAGTACAGCATGAAAGGGGACTCAGAGGAATATTCAGTCACCAGGTAATTAAAAGGTACCTTAAGTGCTGAATTCCTCGGGGTCTGTAACACTGCCACTTGCACCGCTTTTGTCTTCTGCATGGCCCCAAAGCCTCCCACTGGAAATCCACCCACAGCCTCAAAGAAGGCACCAACAAAACTAAGATACTATCTTTAATGGCCAAGCTCATCTGAAACCACCAGCACAGATACTAGCAGTTCACCTAATGAAGCAGATAACAATGAACTGCTTTAGAGCATTCCCAGACATTATTCCTTAGAGATGACAAGGGATAAGTCTCCAGTGGCACGAGGGACTTGACTGCATATCTTTAAGCTCTAGGACTTTTTTAGCCTGAATTTGTTTCTCTGCCCTATGCTCTTTTTGCATGCATGTATTCACTGTTTAAAGACCAAAATGGACTGACAGTGAACTCATCCGATCCTCTGCACACCACAAAGGGACTCCTTTATATATAGTCTTTCATGGGCTGAAATGCTTTAGTTTTAAGCAAACTGAGTTCCTTACACAGAAATTGGCACGTGCCAAGTAAGCAACCAAAGTTAGAAACTTCTATCATGTAATGTGAGATGTGCCCTAGAACAAACCTTCCTAAAAAGCAACAAAACTACTTCAGAAAGACGATATTGCTGCAGCATTTTGGTGAAGTATCCTCACTAAAAGCAGGCTGCAATTCAGCTGAATCCTCCTACTGTTACCCCACGCTATCCTGGAATACATTTGGACAGGCCTATCCACTTACCTTCTGCTTCTCCATTGTCACCCTCCCCGGGAGTGACCTGACACTCAGTTAAGGACACGCTAACATCAGGACCTGTCCTCCTCCTTCAGTTACATGTGCTGGAGCTCTGCTCACAGAGAGGACCAGGCTCACCTAGCACTGAGACAGCCTCAGGCCCCAGCCCCATCATACTCCACATGTGCCAATCAAAGTGTTTCTGGGTGACAGAAGGGAAAAAATGAATGACTGTGTCTGGCAAGTAGAGCTAGGATAAAATATCGGAAAAGTCTAAAATACTTTGACTAACAGGAACTCTGCAAGAAAAGGGAGGGGATGAACCACTAGAATCCTCCCACAAATAGAAAGTTGGAACTCATCCCCAAGCCCTGCCCAAACACAGTCCCCTCCAAGGAGGCCCAGAATTTGATGAAGAAATCCTTTATACAGGGGTGAAGCCAAGGAAACGGCCACCTTTCCTGCAGGCCCTGCAGGCACACCGCCACATGCCACTATGCAGAGGCTGGATTTGCTCACTTCTCATGCAGCACTGCTAGTTTTCCACTAACTTCGCTTTATTCTATTCCTCACTCAGGCAATAGAGACAGGAAAAAAAAATCTAATGGTTAAAATGAGATTTAATTAACCCTCACTGCTGCCACTCCCATGCCCATGTATTTCAATTCTCCTACCTTGCATCCCAAAACATGTTCCTCCCCTTATCTGCAAGTGGGCAGGATGAGGCTGATGAACCAAAGGAAAAACAATGTAAGAGATGAAATACACAATGCCATTTTATTGCAGTCAAAATAGGGTCCAGAATGTGTCAGCAGAAAATAGATGTATTATAGTAATTTCTGATATTCTCACAAGGTTTACTGAACTACAATTTTATATACCTTAAATTAAACAGTGACACACAATTTAGAGAATTTCTTTTTTTAAAGCTACTTCACACTGCTCAAACCTTAAGTGCATTTGTGATTACAAGAGCTACCTAGCACTTCACTGAATACTGTTACCTCAAATACATTGAATACTGTTACTGTTGAACAATTTAGGGCCCATTACAGTTCACCACTGTATTTTACACCTGCAATATTATTTGTTCCATTGTAGTTCTTCACATTAGTCATCCAGCCTATATGTTTCAGGATATATAAAAATGCCAACTGGACCAAGTATTAAGCTTATTCTCTTCACTGTTTGAAGAACAGTGTTTTTTTCCTATGCTCATACCCAAACTTTGCATGGAATCCATAATACTATATTGATCCAGACCAATGGATCAACTCCAGACCAGTAACAAGATCCATCCGCTCTTTCTTTCCAGACTTCCTAGAGCGTAATCCAGTCATCTGCTTTGTGACTGCTGAAACAACCGCTGGCTCCTGGTCTGCCACAAACACAGAAATTACTCTGGGAAGCTCAGTTTACCCTCGCAGTGACTCCATCGCCGCGTACGGTGGTTCTGGGAGCCCCATTCCCTGGATAAAGGCAGCCAAGCCCAGGCCACGCTGCGCCTTCCCTCATCACTGCACAGCGCGGGTACGAACCGGCTGCGGTGATCAACGGGACCACACGTTACCCGCACAGATGTTTTGGTAGGAAAAACTCCGCAGTGCACAAGGAGCTCCTCTTAAAACTGCTCCCATACAATTCAGGAGACACTGAAATTATCTTCAGTAGCTTAGTATTAAGCTTTAATCTAACTTCAGAGTAAAACTTTACTATCATCATAGGCTTATAACCACCTAGCTGCTGCCCTGAGGAGGGAGCAAGGCCATCTCAATGCCAAGCTACATCCCTCAAACAAGGATTTGTGAGCTGGCAACAGGGCAGCTTGCTGAGTCTGCAGGTGAGGGCAGAGCGAGTTATCCCAAGCGAAGCTTGTCACTAATCCAGTAGATCAGGACAAGCAAGCTATGATCCAATTAAAGATGATCATACTACCAGGTAAGTTTCAGCCACTGGGTCTTACTCAGTGGTTTTTCAATCTATCTACCTGGTATTTTCTAAAAACGCTTCTATGATATGGATGGCCGAAAATGGTGTTTTTTTGTTTTGCTTTAATGTAACTACTTTTCTATAAACAGTTACCAGACCTAAATTAAAATAAACAAACAAAAGCTTTCTAAATTTAGAAGAGAACTTTTCTCTCCACACAGCCATATGGCAGCAAAGGAAACAGCACATTTATCTCATATAATATTAAGTGGTCCTGTTGACAGAATACAGATAAATCTAACAGAGAAGAAAGTAGATTTCTCTTGTAATTCTCAATTACAATGAAATATCTTCTCTATAGTCTCACTTGCTTAAATGAAACAAGCTTTTATTGCATTGCCCTTGCATCCTTCACTGTTTTAACCTCCACCCCCCAAAAAATACAGTGGGGGTGCAAAAAGGCAGATGTCTGCCTACAATTGTAAGAAGGCTACACAGCACTGACCTGAGCTCACAGCCAACCAAGAAACAAACCAACCAAACTGGAACAAGATCAATTACTCTCACTGCTTGTGGAATTACTTCTTTTTATTAGCATATGCTAAGAATGAGCCACAGAGGGCTTCAGTGCATGGGCCAGTGGCAAGTTTTCCTGCACTAATGGGATGGTTAAATGCTCACCTAATGCCACTTTCTGAGAAGTTACTGTCCAAGGCTAAGACAGATAGAACAGTATGTGCAGGTTTTCCTCCTTTGGGCCACAGCAGTTATAAGGAAAAGTCCATACAACTTTATTTTGGTGTAATTTATGGGGATGTAAAATCAGGTAGCAAGGACATATCACAATGAGTCAGCTGCAAAGTGCAAATAGTAAACTCCTGTACGGAAGCAGTGGGAAATTAAACATGGGACTTTCCTCAGCTAAATCTGTTGGATACAGCACAACAGAGTGCTTTGATTGCCCAACAGGACATAGAAATACCCAGCATAAGAAAGAAAGTGCTGTAGTCTGAAACCCTCAGCACCCAGAGGCTGCAGCACTGCGAAAAGGCTAAATATCCCCATCTGTGCTGGGAACACATCATGAGATGAAGATACTTCTCTAACACCAAGGAACGTTAATAACAAACACACAGCCAGTGATCTTCACATTCCAGAGACCTGCCGCACCAGCACGGAGCATCTGTTCAAAAGCCATTTCTCAGTTGAGAACATTTCCCTTAGGTCTCCAGATGACGTTTGCCTTTACAGAAGATATTTCTTCCCAGGACATCTATTGCCCCTACTGCTTATTGTTTCTGTAGCATCAGAGAGCCTTTGTTTTGTTTCTTGCTGAACTATTTATGTTTAGTGACAATAGGATTGTTTGAGGCACCATCCTCCTAGGACACACGGTCACGTCAAGTCCTGACAACAGTAAACACAGGAATGCTGGAAACAATTAGCCAGTGTTTCTCCAATGCAACTGAACATGAAGCTTACAGTAGGTCCATCTTGGGTAGCACAAGAAATTAAATCAGTCACTAGACTTCAGGAGATCTCCTTGTCTTATGCAGCAGTAGCACAAGTTCTTACACCTTTCATCCTGCTTCTTCCAGGCTGAGGGAAGAGGCCATCAGCAATCTCTCAAATTTCTGCTGCTGAAAAATGCCACCTCATGTGCAGGTCTCCTCATGTCCCCCTCCCACTTTGAATCATATCCTCTTTTGAGGAACTCCCAGACATCTCCACAAGAACTAACTGGAACTTCTGGTGATGAAGAAGCAAAGATCTTGCAAACGTTCCTATTAAGAAACAAGGGAAAAACGTGTATTTAAAGTACTTCCATTTAAAGTGCTCAGCATATTCAGAGGGTTTTGCTGTTGCTGATTTTTCCCCCCACCAAGCTGCAAAACGCTTCTTTTAGCTAGGACTGCTTTTTGGTTTAAAGTAAGAGAATAGCCCTGTAAACGATTTCTTTCATTCATAAGTATGTAAAGCAACCACTAGCCTTAACACAAGCCAGTCCAAACCACCAGCCTCAAATCCTGCCACAGAATCTCAGGAATTTAGCTGTTGTCATATCTTGAAGCCACTCACTCCAATACCACACTACTGACCCCATAGGGAAAACACATTCCTTTTCTTCTAGGAAGACAGCAAGGCCTAAAAATCCCTCCTAATGGCTACAGAAAAGAATCATGGTTTCAAAACCTGGTACTCGCATATTATGTCACTGCATAACACAGTACTCTCTGTTCACCTCATATCTAAACTTGAAAGACTCCCCAAGTGGAAAAAGAGACTGACTCTAAAGAAAGTGTTATGGAAATTCATTACTGATGAGCACAATACTTTTCCTACTAAAGGACAGACACTGATGCCTTACAAACAGCATACAATTACCAAAAAAAAAATCTATTTTTTTTCCAATGATCTCACTGTGTAGCATTACAGACCTTTAGAACATGAGTATTACCGCATTTACAATGTGTCTTCCTGTTCTTACTAAAGGTCCTTAAATTCTCTATTAAGGAGAAAGCAACTCCCCCTAAGACAGCAGCTTTACTGCTTGCACTCATTAAATTGCTCTGGTGGCCACATAAAGGTTCAGCATCACGTCTGTATAGCCCAAATCACACCAGCTCTAACGTCAAATCACTCCAACTTGCAGGATCTCTCCTTCCTAGAGCCTTAAGCCTCCGTTACAGGATCAGTGAATGGCTGAGGCTGGAAGGGGCCTGTGGAGATCTCATCCAGCCCATCTGCTCAAGCTGAGTCACCTAGAATGGGCAGCCTGGGACCTTGTCCAGGTGGCTTCTGAATATCTCCAAAGATGGAGACTCCACAGCCTCCCTGGGAAACAGAAATATATTATAAGACAGAAAAAAAACTTTTGCCTCCTAAGTACCGACTGTAATCGAATTACCCCCAATGCCCTTTTTGCTAAGCCTAACAGCAAAATAGCTTTGTTAAGCCTATGAGGAGGCAGTTTTCTGATCTTTAATCTTTCTTGCAACTGGTCACTTAACCTTGCTTTACCAGTGAACTTAACACCACAACTAGATATAATATCCCAAAATCAAGTACATATTTTGCTCAAAATCCCCCTATTTATTTATCTCAGGTATACTCTGGACCCTGGGTCAGTGCTGCCCTGGGATCTGATATTTTAGGTGAGGCCTCTTCCTTCATGCTGACTGCCTCAAAGCCTAATTACAGTCACTACTTCTTGCTTTTAGAGTGCAGCACAACAAGTTATTCCTTGGTTGCAGCTGCATGGTGGATGGTTTAGGAGTGGTTGCTTATTTCTTTTGCTTTGATCATATACACAAGCATACTGTTAACAGCTTTCATATTTTCTTCCATAAACACTCAAAGTTGAGCTGTCTCCAAAGTATCCCTGAGCTTTGGGAAATGCATTTGCAGAGCACAGACAAAAGTACTTACTGCCTCAAGCACAGAAAACATTAGGCTGAGTTATGAGAGGAAGGGATGAGAACCCCGGTTATTCTCAGCTCCCCTTGGTCCTGTGCCGGGAGCCCCACGTCAGGGCACTGTTTCACAGGCCCTGGAAGTTTCTGCTAGGCTGCTGGTAGAGATGGTCGTCCCCAGCCACCTACCCAAGCAGTCAGGCAGAAACTACTGTCCCTGCTGCAGAGACAGGTCATGAATCAGACCAAGAAGGCTGCAGGCTACTGACAAACACATTAAAGCAAACGAGTGCTGACTCCTTTGAAGCTCTTCCTACCTGTGAGTCACCGGAGCCAATTATCCAAATCAATTGCCTTAGTGGCAGACAGCAGGAA